CACTTTATCGGACAGCTCGTTCGAAGACCTTTTCCCTCCACCTTTAAGTAATATACCGCATACACGTATGCAACATTACGCCTCCTTTCTGAAAGTGAGAACACGGTCTACCATTTTCAGTCATTCCGTGTAAGTCTCCCTTGACACCTAATTCAAAATGAGACTGTTGGTGTAGAGTTATATTGAAGTCATGGAAACTCGTTCTCTGAAGTAAGATGGGTTTGTATGATTTATTACTCATTTAGATATTTAGAGCATGGTTGTTGGCCTTACGCTGATATATCGAACTTTGGCAGGATCGCAAGACAGACAAATCGCTCTCCGTTAAGGTATATCACGAAAGTACATAAACTCTCCAAAACAAAATTCAAATTCTCTCTATCGATGAAGAAAAGAAGTATCAGGGAAGGAGCACACCGGACAGATGTTGCAGATTCATAAAAGTAGAATATAAAATAACATAAATACTCAAACGTAGAATGAGGGATTTGAACACTCCAAAAGTGGGAACCACAACTTCTGGTTACTCCTGGCTCTAAACTGTATCGCTCATCCCCCCTAATCCTAATATTATCTCCCTTCACCATCACCACCGACCTCCCCATATCCCTTCTCCTCCCTCCCCTCGCCCTCCCACCACTGCCCCCGGGAATCCGTTAACAAGACTGATGCGAACCCACCGGCTCCCTCCTCCTCCTCGGCCTACCCCCTCCATCCCCTTCCTCTCTCTCAAGAAAAAGAAACATCTGAGGACGAAAACTCAGACCCCTGCCTCGACCCCGGCGCCGGCTCCCCGACCGAATCCATCTCAAACCCACCATTCACACAGGGACAGACGTAACGGTCAAGCTGAAGCCGGGCGTGGACGGTATAAACTGGTGGAGGCGAATAGGGGGGTAGCGGCGTCGAGGGGGCGAGGAAGGGGTTGTAGTCGAATAAATTTACGCTCATGGAGAGGGAGAAGGAGGAGTAAGGGAATGAGGAATAGGAGAGGGAAGACGAGGGGGTATCAGAACGAGCCGCAGGGATATGACAGACGCCAGAGAAGTTGGGAAAGTGGGTGTGATTACCGTTATACTCGTCCCCTGTGTGACGAATCAAACCCAGAACCGCAGTCGGCGGACTAGCGGAATCATACAGTCGAGAACCAGGAGGCGGATGGCTGGATTCTGCATCCCCTTGTTCTCCGACCGGAAGAGGTCGACCGCGGGCATCGTACCGCTGGGGAAACCCACCTCTGAAGCCCTCGTCATCACCCGGACGTCGGCCCCCTTGCTCGGATACCGCACCCCTCCGTCTCCGACGTCCCGCATCCTGCGAATAAGCATCCCGGCACTCCCAAACCCGCTTCCCGTTCCTCTCGCCATTTCCGTAAGTAGGAAACTCGTGATAAACACCCCACCTCCTCTCCCTCCTTTCTCTCTGCTCCTCCGTCTCTTCCGATCTCTCTCTTTCCCACTCCTCGTCCCGGCCCACATCGTCAACTTCCTTTATCCCCCCAAACACCCTACCCGATTCCTCACCCTCACCCCGTCGACTCGGCGCTGTCGAAGAAGCATATATAGGGTTCGGCTGCAGTGGTAGCGTGGCTCGCACGCGATGGGGAAGCGTGCCAAAATTGCGTGTAGGGGGGAAGGGTTTCGGAGACGCCAGACCGAAATCGTGGTCTCCGGGATTAGGGACGGGTTTGGGGACGGATTTTGGAGGGCACGGTGGGTGCGGGTGTGGGGAAACAGGAGATGCGTGGGAAGCCGGGGGGTTGGGGGAGCTGGGTGGATTGGGGGGAACGGGGGGGGAGCTGGGGTAGATGGCTGGGCTTTTGGTTCGGGGATGGGCTCGGGCTGGGGAGGATGTGGTGGGTTGGGGGATGGGGGGATGGGGGAACGGCGGTAACTGAGTAAATTGGTGGCGAGGACTATGATGACACCGGAAGCGACGCCCAGGGTGAAGACGAGGAATTCCCAGTTGGAGGAAGCGTCATATGGAGGTGGGGATAGGAAGGAAGGGGGGTTGAAGAGGTGGTTGTAGAAGGGCATTTTGAAGATTGAGACGGTGGGTTTTCGTTTGGGAAAACGCTGGGATGAGATTGATGTTGCCCAGTAGAGTAAAGATGGTAGTGGAGTTAGGGGAAGAAGAGGAAAAGAATTTATGGAGCATGGTGCTTTACAGAGTGGACGCTAGAGGATGAGGTGGCATATGGGTTGTGGACTCCCGAGTGTTCACGAGGTAGTGAGTTGGTAGAGATGAACGGATCTGTAGACGTGGAGACGAAATGAGATATAGCAGGTTTATGGTATAGCTAGGACAGTTGGCAATCTAAGTATAGACATTGAAGTTTGCTTTTTGAAGGAATCCCGACCCTACGCTCGAATAAGATGACAGCGAAGCCGGATGATTCTTGAGCATTCTTCATTATTGCCTCTTTGTTGTCATAATGGCGCCTCTCGTTATAGACATTGACATATGGATGGAGATGAATACCCATGAGGAGAAAACCATTCCCTAGAATCAAGATATTAAGGCCCAAAACATGGGTTCGGTATCCTCACATTGGTAAGGAAATTAGAACCGGCTGATATAATAGACAAGAGAAAATATAAAAAGTTTCTTTTTATAAAAATGAATCTGTTGTCCCCTCTCTTTCACAAGAACACACTCGACATTTCACCTCTAGTAAGTAACATATTATACATGTGGATATCCTACAACGCCTCGCCTATGGTATATCACTCTATCGCCGCACTGCCTTCTCCAGTTCATCCTTCGCCTGATCAACCGCTTCACCTGCCATCTTCCTCGCCTCCACTCCCTCATCCGCCTCAACAGCGTCAAGCCGGTCTAAAAACTCTCTCACCATCTTCTGCGTCTCCTTCAACACCTTCCTTCCCTCTTCCCTCAATTTATCCCCCCACTTCGTTCTGGCATCTTCCCACCTCGTCTGCACCCGTCTTAGCGACCAAACAAGTCCAAAAGCGGCGACTGAACCCGCTTCCACGACTGAAAATGTAGGGAAGGAGAGGTATATTAGTACTGATAAGGCCGTCGTGAGGGATGTTGTAGATAGCGTTTCGAGGATGAGTTGTTGTGCGAGTGCTTGGAGACGTGGTACTGTGGTCTCGTACAAAATAGCGCGTTGTTCTGCAATGAGTTGGGGCCATGGTCGGGGTTTTGGGAGTAAGGGTTCGCCATCATCCACGACTTCTGGTATTGCGATCCTAATCCGCGATATGGATTTATCTGATGCCTTATTCATAGAGCTCGTATCTTCCGGGGTTCTCCTGACGACAGGTGCGTCAATTGCTCCTTGACTCTTCTGAAATATTGCTTGACCGATTCGGCCTGCGACGAAAACGATGTCCTTCTCTGCGTCTACGAGCCACCGGCGCTCGAGCACGTCCGATAGAATCATGCTAACATCGTCGACACGCCAGAATAATTTCCACCAGCTGATCCTTTTCCAATGTGCGCCGTGGAATGCTAAATCCAAACCTTGGCGGAGTTCGTTATGGGATGCTTCGGCCCAGTCCTTTAACAAATCAATGATGGAAGTTTTAGTGCCAGACAAACCGGTTTCAGCTGTGATGGTTTGTAATCGAAGGTTCTCATCTGTTATAATTCTTCGCTGTGCATCATCTAATAATGTGGATATGAGCTGGATCACTGCTGGCCGAACTGAGGTGTCTGATGTTTGTTTCTCTTTAGTGAGCCATTCGGTTAAAGCCGGCATACCACTACGGAACCAGCCCTGCTCATAGTATACAGAGTTCGCGATTGACTTGCGGAAAAGTTTGAGAGCGTCCTCTGCTACCCCAATGTCCATTATATTTGTCTCTGCAGAGGATATCTCTTTGACTTCTGCGCATGGGATATTGAATGCAACGTTGATTGTCTGAGGTGGTAAATCATCTTTCGATAATCCAGCAGTATATCTTCCGAATCTTATAGCACTATCTAGCCCATCGCCAACTATTATCGTGCCATGAACCGGGTAGGTTACTATCGTTGTCCTTCCTGAGCTTATGGGTGTTTGAAGTGTGGGAGTGAGGATGGTCTCGACAGGGCTCTCCGCATTTCCAAAGATTGGAGGCTCAACGTCGATATTGAGTGAAGATATGATGATTTCCAGTCCATTTCTTTGTAACATTGGAGATGGTACGAATATGGTCTTAAGGAGTGGATTACGAGGAGCTACTTCATCTTCCTCACCGTACCTGCAATCCACATATTAGATGATCCGTGTCGCATGAGTGAATTTGATCGTACCGTAATAACAAGCTCCTTCCATCATCTTTCTCCTGTGTTATCAGGTCTTCCCATCGGCTGCTCGGTCCTAGTGGATCTGCAAGGAGAAGTCTAGCCAGCCGTCGTGCTATCGTCGGATTTCCTAAGCTAAGGACTAAATGTTCACAAACCATTAGATAACTATTTAAGAATTTCTAAGCTCTCCAGAACCTACTTGCTATTCGAATAATAGGACTTCCGCTTTCCAGCCCTTTCAACGCTAACTGTAGTCTGTTCAGGTTGACATACGTCCCCGCTGGTCCTTTTAATCTGTCCAACGCATAATAGAGCTTTTTATATCTCTCTGAAACATTAAGTGGTGGATTTATAGCTGTTGAAGAAGCTACAGTCGACACATTTCGCGCATATGGTCGCGCTATAGAAGATCGTTGGCGGGTTTGTCGCGAGGGAGGGTCGTTACGAGGTCCATTGAGCCGCCATACGGAACATGAAGGACAGAAGAACAAGCCCACTCCCTTTTTCCGTGATATTTGTGCCCATTTCGAGAGGAGTGATGGACGAGGAGGCATAACTGCTCCTATGTAGTCGTCTGTCGCTCCTCTTGTGAAGCTCTAAGCCTGTAGTACAAGCTAAGGCCATATCTGATCGATCTTATCTCGGCTTAGATGGAAAACCATCTATCGACGCCCCCTCTTTTCTCCACTGTTATTTAATATTTATAAGTATAACTCATCCATCGCTTCTCCAACAAATAACATGGCTTCGTGGTGTAGTTGGTTATCACGTCAGTCTAACAGAATGGGCTAGTCCCAGTACACTGAAGGTCCCCAGTTCGAGCCTGGGCGAAGTCACTTAACTTTTTGCTTTTTGAAAGCAATCGTTCTTTTTGCTCCCATACTGTATGGTAGCTGCGTTTAGATAGATGGTATATCGCGACACATCAGGTTGTCTCTTTTTGTGAAATTTCCAATTATGTTCATCTAAAAGGCATTTATAGCTGCAAATAAGTACTGGGTTCGAAATAGAATGAGGCTATACTCCCACGACTGTTGTGGGAAGCTGTCTTGTATTCTCTTAACTCTCACCTATACTATGGGTACCCATGTGCTTTCGGATATACTCCTAGAAATTGGGATCAACCAAATGCTCTTAGAACTGCAGTCTTATCTGTCTTGTCGTCTGAAAAGAGGGAGAAAAAGAACCACCGAAAACGGCAAAATTGACTTAATTGGCCAATATAAACAAAGGTATGAAGGTACAGAATCTCACAATCCCCGCCCGAGCAATCCAATCATCCCACACCCGCAAATACACAAAACGCCGCGATCCGCCTATCCAGCACAGAGTCCCTCAATCACCACGAATACGCATCGACCTCCAACTCCCACACCGTAGGCCCCTGCCTCCCCAACGCACTCACCACCGCTCTAACATCATCACACATACCCGGGGGCCCACAAACCACCACCCCAACCTTCTTATACCCCCTCTGCGCCTCCGCTCTCAACACGCCCTCCACATCGACCCGCTCACCAACCCTGACCTCCTTATCCACCAGATCCCCCAGCGCCCCACCCATCTCGGCGACCAGCGCCTCCGAGCCCGCCTTGACGCTCCACGCGAGCCGGACGTTCGGGTGCGCGCGCGTCCAGGCCAGGAGCCCCGTGATGCCGATGCCGCCGGCGATCAGGACGACGCGGTCGCACTGCATTATCCCGGTCGAGGGGTTGTGCGGGTATGGTCCGTCGAGGAGGGTGAGGAGGCGCGCGTGGGACTTCAGGAGGCGGGTGAGGCCTGTGTTTTTCTTGACTACGAAGGTCACGCCTGCGGTTCCCTGGGTTTCAGTACTGTTTGCGCGTACGACGGCTTGGGAGACGGTGGGGTTTGATTTTTCGAGGTCGTGGCTTGGGCGGGAGCGGGAGGGGGAGTGTGAGTGCGCTGATGACCCCGATGCGGGGGTGTGGGAGACGTGTTTGTAGTCCCGGAAGAGGGCTGTGGAGTTGAGGGAGAAGGGATGGTTTTCCCAGGGGCGTAGGGGGTTGAGGCTGGGGAAGTAGACGTAGGCTACGTGGCCTGGCATGCTCGCCCATCGCACGTCGGGGACGTCGATTCTGACGTGATGTTCGCCTACGTCTGTGACGATGGCGCGGCGGACACCGTTTTTAGCGATGCGAAGCACGCGGACCAAGCGGTCGAAGAACCATACGGCGCAGGCGGCGAAGAGCCAGTTGTCGTAGAAGTTGTAGCCCCATTTGAGGATGACGTGGTACCAGCACCCGGCGATCACGAAGACGGCCATGAGGATGTGGAGGATGAGGAAGGCCTCGTATGCCAGGCGGCGGAAGTAGAGATGGCTGAAGACGAGCATGGCGCAGGTAAGGACGGTGGCGACGATACCCCATAGCCAGTATGGCTGCGTGGACTCGGTAGGGTAGCTGCCAGTGCCCGTATATGTTATTAAGAGGGTGATACTGTGAACGATGGCGTGGATGGCGAAGATGCGGGCGACCCAGCGGTGCAACAGGAGATAAGTCGAGTGGGACCAGTCGGTGATCCAGAGGAGGAAGTTGTTGCGGCCGGAAAAGAGGATGAGGAGTGGGAGGAGGGCGTAGCCGATATGGCCGGTACGATAGCCGATGTAGGCGAGGAGTTCCTCTTTGGGCGGAAAATACCATGGATGGGGTTGCGTACTGTCGTAGTTGACGGCACCGAGGATGAGGTTGAGAATGAAGAACATGACGATATATAGGGCTTGTCCAACAGTAGGAGCGTTTCCTAAAAGCCATGGCAGAGGACGAACGTGGTAACCCCTGAAAATGGAAGGATAAACCAAATAAGGTTGGATTTTGTCAATAGCAGTGGTCATGAATGGAAGACGGGCAAGGAGCGTAAACAAAATAGGCGTTCCGAAACCGACGACGACGATAACGATGCTGATTTCCATCAGTTGACGAACACGACAACGAGAAGGAAGAACTTTTACTTACACATATCTAGCTTGAAGCATCTCTATATGGTCAAACATGACGTTGAACTTGTAATTCATGTCATAAGACGCCATAGGAACAAGCATGGTCTCATTTAGAACAGCTCCTGAGCTGGAGTTGTATTCGACAGTGGGCTCTTCAATGATCTCTTCAAGTGCTCTCGAATAGTCCCACTTGGGCGCAACACTCGCACCACTAATCACTTTCGTGGCCCAATACTTCTCCCTCTTCCATGTTGGCACTTTGGCGGGGTCACAGTTTGATTTTATGCAATATGCTAAAGTCGTAAGATAGGCTGAGTCGCTGGCGTAACATTCTGGAGATGTTGGTCCTGACCCATGATGGGAATGACCGTGTTCAGTAGATGTACATGAGAGCGGAGCGCTGGAGATGGCATTATTGCAGGCGAATCCACATGCTGGATCGTACCAGGAGAAGCCGTAGCCTGGGAATTTGTAGGATGTAAGGTGGGCTGCGAAGGATGATTGGATGAGAAATGAAAGGGCAAGGAGAAGTGGCAGCTTCATGATGATGCTGTCAATCTGTGCCAATTCAATGTTCTCTGTGTGTATGTATGTAGAGGTTAACAAGGTTTTGAGAAGGTAAGGTGGTACTCTCTACTGTACTTGCAGGTCTAAATAGGTTTCATATATCCTTCTAGACGTCGATCGCGAGCACATTTATTTTCTTCTTTTCTGGTCCTGTTAAAGCCTTTACTCCTTTCCAGTAAGATGTTTGGCTTTTACATTAATGACTTTGTCAGAGGCTTCCGATATGATGGTAAGTCTTAAAAGGTGGCGCCAATCCAGACCCGAAAGTATGGAATGACAAACAGATGGTTACTTGCGTGTGTGGGGAGTGGAGACGGTCGGCTAAGTGTACTGTACAGTACTTGAATATTATTGTACCGTATACAACATCTGGATATACATAGTAGCTTAAGCAGGGGACGGAAGACATGGCGGGGACATGGAATGTTTGCTGGATAAACATGTACCGTACATGCTTAGCGGTTGGTGGGATGAAAGGGGGAGGTTCGTATTGTATTTAATACCTAGGTTAGGCTTTTAGGTTTGGGCTCGGTATCTTACCTATTGTAATGATGATAATAATAACGATGATAATAAAGAATGGTAAAGAAAAGTTGATGTGCTCCAAGCTTGGCTGGTGAGAGACCGTGAGACCGTGAGACCGTGAGTCCATTTGAGCACATTAATATGCAAGCTGACTACCCAAAATGGTTTAGCGCATGATTATATCGTCTGATGGAATTTGGCAAGTAAATGCCATGACCAGGTTAATTGGAAGTGCCTAGCTTCATCAAGGCAAATCCTCTTAGATTGCCACACGGTTATGAATTAACGAAGGTTACTGTACCAAGCAGTTTTTGTACTCCAGTTCCACCTCATAAGGTAAGGTACCTTAGCTCTGTCCTCGGTACGCTTAGAAATAACACGTGACGGTATATTCTTCATATACTCTTCGCTTCCCCGTGGAGTCTGAAATAAAGCTAGGGACATGTCCTAGAGTAAGTGTGCAACACACTGATTGAAGCCGTCACTGTCATTCGTATGATTGCGAGCTTATCGTTCTGTACTGTACACATACTACGCATTCTCAGCCTTCTTGTACAGTAAAATCGTATCCATCTTTAGGACCGTCCACACAGGAAGCTGATCGCGACCGTTGGGTGCTTGTACAATCGGATTTCACACACCACTCTGCTTTGGCCTGTACAATACGATGGAAAATAGTTTGAAGTTGGAGCGTCCACTAGGCGAGAAATACCATTTCGAGTGGTAGGACAGAGAGGTCTTCGAAGAGTTTAACTGCTTTGTAACAAGAAAGAAGAGCTAATGTTTGTACTTAAACTGCAACGTGCTGTACTGGCCGTGGCGAGAAAACGGTTTAATAACGAAACCATGCCGTACAACCTCCTCGCTGATAACTGTGTGCCATAAGAGTTAATCGAATCTATGACTTAGACGAATCGCCATCAACCCTGCATTAGGTGGTCAAAAACCCAGGTACAGTCTTGTTACGTTGAAGGGAGAGGTGGAAACCTAGGACCACACATTCTTCGGAAGGGAGAACTCTTCATCGCTAATACCGCAGCTCGGAAGCGGCTAGAGAGGGGTGAATAGACGATTCCGCGACGCTCGACGGTGCGTTCTTGGCAGTATTAGGGAGATGAGTTCCCTTGACAGCTTGCAATGGCGGCGAGAAGATTGGATTCACGTCTCGGTGCCCTCCTCCCTGTTGTTGCTGTTTCTAGAATAAGTTGAATAACTCGGTTTCTCAGAATATAATCAATACATGCCATAATTGCAAGTGGTCTTAGTACTCAGTCGACGTCAAATATCCTCCAGGCTTCTAGTATTCGCCTTCTTAATCTCCTCCCTCTCCCGCTCTCCCATCCCCGCTCTCTCCAGAATCTTCTGCAATATCTCATTCTTCCCCTCACAATATTCGTCCATATCCAACCCCCTCGCAAACAATTCCATCTTCACCCTCGCATACTCTTCCCTCAGCGCCTCATCCCTCCGCAACAATTCTCGGACACAGAGATGGTTCCGTAGACTCGCACTTCCCTCGATGCAAAGGTATAGATTGCGATCTGGTACCGCTGAGACCTTACGAAAGGTATGCCGGTCTGGGATTCCAACTTCACCGAGGTAGGTATACCCAGAGGCGGTGAGCGCGGATATAACGGACTCAAGGGAGGGAGGCAGGATGACGATGTCGACGTCTATGATGGGTTTGGCTGCGAGGAAGGGGACGGATGTGCTGCCGACATGCTCGATGCGCAAGATATCAACGTCTTGAAGTGTGTTGATGAGCTCAGACGCTATTTGAGAGAAGTG